GAGTGCGTAAGTAAACCTTGTTGCAGGTTAAGCTTAAATTTTCTGGCATCTCGTTTTCCAGCAAATAACATTCATAATGAAATGTGATTTCTGTCTTTGTCACTTTCTTCCAAATTTAAGTGGTGGGAAAAGCTTATGCTTGTTACACTTGCCAGATGTCTGTTGACAACTGTTTTAGTTTCTTCTAAATGATGCACTTTTGTAAAACATAAGATTGTTTTCATGTTTACAGGATTGCAGTCTATAAATAGATCTTAGTTTTGCATTTCACTTCATGCTCATAGTGTGACTGCTTAGGTGTCTAAATAAGTAGTGACACTATCAGTTGCCTGTTTAAACATAATAAAAGGCATTACAGATTTAATGTCTTGCAATGTTTTAGTGTTATGCTTGGTGTTGAGGCAGCAATGTCAAACACAAGTGGTCTTAACAGGACATGATCAATGTGTTGACTATAGAAAGCATGGGTTTAGGAGCTTTGTGCTGTGTCTGAATTCTGTTGTCTTCCTATAGCCCAAAGCAGCAGCTGGAGTGACTCAGCAGTCAGATGTTACTACCGCTGTTAGCTCAACAACTGCAGCTCCCACACCAGTCCCTGCACCAGTCCCTGTGGCTGCCCCTGTGCCAGCTCCTGTCCCTCCACCACCAGCACCAGGTGCAGTTCCTTGTGAATCGGCACCTGTGAGTGCTCCTAAAGAAGAGAAGCCAGCAGAAAAAACACACGAAGCCCCAGCTGCTGTCAGCCCATCATCAACTGACAGGTATGAATGAAAAGCCTCCAAAACTGGCTTCCCTGTCCATTCCTGTTGCTTCTAGTTCTGATTTTAAGTTGAATTTTCCATTACAGTGTTAATCCAATCATTTTCTCTGTTCTACTTAATTTTTCTTCTTTCTCAACTGTAACTTCGTTCTCTGGCTCAATGCTAATTGATGGTAAGAAGTGTCCCTCCCTCTTCTGTTGGGTGTGGTCTTGCGGTTAAACTGATGGTGTGGAGAGTTAAATGACACAAGACTTGTGCTCCCATTAGACATTTCACAGTTACTGTGGCACAAGTTTCTTTTCAGACTGAGGATACTCACCTGCTGAGGATATTGGTCTACTGTTCACAAAGCTCTTAAAGACTTCAGAGGGGCATGTCCTGTCCTGTTCCTAGACCTCTGATTGTGTTTTGAGTCATGATAGATTAAAACTGTAAGTTCTTTATTTCGATAAGAGTCTCTTAATTTCTGGAAAGAGCTTTTTCTTCCAAAATGTAGGATATAGTGTTGCTCTTAATCATGTAATGTCTTAAAGCTACAAGCTTATTTCTTCTAAATGCTCCTTGGCCTATCTGCAGATAGCTGCGGGAGTTGGGATAGCTTTTAACCTTAATTCTCTACATTTAAGAAAATCAAATAGAAGTCAGAGGTTTCATCTGTGTTGTATACTGTGGCCTTTTTTCACTCACTTTAAGTTGCTTAACTATTTCATGGGATGAAAATGTCGTTAACTGTCATTTAATGGCCCTTGAAGTGCTCCATAGTGTCAGGTCTTCATTTATCATACACTGGTTTTCAATTTGTGTATTATTTATGTGAATACCGCCCAAGATGATAATTTTTGAAGTGGTTGTATTTAAACACCATCAAATAGTGATTTGATGATAAGGAAACAAAACTAGTATCTTAAAAGTGTCATCACAAATTTCTTGCACTGAATACCCAATTGATTTAAGTTTACAATTCTGAGAAATGAAATAGAAATGAAGCTTCATTTATTAGTCGAATAACTTTGCATTTTTTTAATGTTAATGGGTGGGGTTTTTTGCTGCTCAGTTTGTCCACTAGGTTCAAAGATTAAATTAAATCTCTGATACTGAAATAGTGCTTTCCAGGTTTTCCATCTGCAGATTGCAGTGTTGTAAAACTGCAGTAAGGGAACCTCAGTGTACATACTTACAGGAAGCAAGAGAATAACTTAGCAAATACATTGTTGTTACCACCTGCCATGATTTCAGTGAGTACTGCTTGTTTCTGATTTGCTTTAGAAGTTAAATTACTAAGGCTGGTGAATACTTATTGAGCCATGGCCAAGAAAGCTGGTGTCCTGTTTAACCTTTGGTCTTTTTTAGTTGTAAGTCTTATTAATGGTAGATACTAATGAAGGATTCCTGTTGGAACAAATTGTTTCATACATTAAAAAAATGCATCTCTATAAATGCCTTGTTAGATTTTTAGTGGGATCTTCTGAAAACTGATTTAGATTAATCTGATGATCTTTCACTTGCTGTTAGGAGTTGCCAGCTCTGGTAGCCTGATAGATGCAAGGCTGCTGCAGCTCCGTGTCCCCACATCTATCAAGCATCAAAATTGAACATGTATTCCCAGTACATACATACAATATGTGTAATATATGTATGGCTGGCTGCATAGGTCAACATAGGTAGGAAAAAACCAGCACTCAAGCAACCATATAACACCAGCCATCTCACCCTGTTCCCTTCTGGCTACTCAGGGCAAAGCCCACTGGTGCAAAATATGTGTACATACAAACGTACAAATGAATAATACAAGTAGCCGGCCTTAGTCTGTTCTGATAGCTGGCCCCTAGATCTCCCAGTCTCCCAAGTTTTTGGTACCTGGGCATCTGACTGCCCAAGCCCTGCAGCTGTGCTCCAGTGGCTGATACAGGAACTGGCCCTAGAAATGCACTGAACATGGTAGCTGGTCCCTAGATCCCCTGGTCTCCCAGTCACCTCATTCATGGACACATGAAGAGGTCTCCCTGCTAGTAGGTTGAGGCCTGTGACCTTACCAGTAGCTGGCCACAGACATTACGGTCTTCCCAGTGACCCCTCTCTCAGACACTCCGGTCTCTCCAGCAGCTGACTCTGACTTACAGCCATTCAATACCCTTGACACCTGTCAAGCTTTTTACCGTACTTACTGTAGTCAAGCTTGATGCTTGCTGGTGATTACATACATGCCAGCGTATGCATCCACAAAGAGTATGGATGTACTCTAGTCTCTTCAGTTGCCAACACCCCGAGCACATGGACCCCTGTGGCCCCTTCTCCGGTTACTGGCACTGAGACTTCCACAGTGTCTGGTCTCTGCAGTTGCTGGCTCCACAGTTGTGTGGATCCCTGTGACTCATTGTTTCCTGTCCAGTTGTGGGCACTTAGACTTCCATATGCACACATGCATGTAGAATTGGGAGACCACCCAGCACGAAAAATAGTTAGAAATGAAATTTAATTAGAAGCAGGATGGACTGGTGATAAGGTGCAGGCCATGGCCAGGCAAGTGCTTTTTATATGTGACTGGCCCTTTTTCCTCCTGTTTTCGCTGTCTTTACCCATGTTTTTCATGTGGAGGGTGCCTTTGTTGTTTGCCTTTCTCTGCCTTTCATTCTTCCCCTAGATATCCCATAATATGTCTTGAAATCCCCAAACGCTCTTTCCTGGCACACCATGGTGAGTAGCACCACCCTGTAGGCAGTAATGCCCTTGATCTGCAAGAAGACCTGGAGACCCGCTCCCATTGACCTATCAGGGGTGTCACCCCGAGACCAAGGGGTTGATGCTTTAAGCTGAAGCTCTGGGAGGAGCCAGGAAGGGGGCACCCTTGGCTCTGACTGAGTTAACTGGGGTTCGTCTGCATGGTGTGGTGCCTCTGTGTTCCTTGGTGTTCATGGAAGTGAGCCTTTAATCGTGTAATTTAACAGCTTTTATAACTTGAGATGGAGTAATTGCAAATGTTAGCAGTTTATATTCCTGGGAAAGGAGGATACTGAATTTTTAATAAGTGCTTGCCACTCACCTCCTTGGCTCCTCATTGAGGTCAAACCAGTGACTATGGGGAAGCAGCTAGTGAGACTGCTGTGTGTTTTTGAAAATCCACCTTGTTCTTCCACCTTTTAAAGCATTCAAGCAAGCAGATGGCTAATCCCTGGGCAAGAGCCAAACTATTGGGGGGTAAGGGGGAAGGTTGGCCTTGTGTTAGAAGTCGTAGCATTGTAAGTTTGTAAAATCTGGTCTCACTATAAGACCAAAAGAGAGCTCTTTGGAAAGCTTTATTGGTTTTTTAGAAACAAAAGGGGCTATTAGAGTTACAGCTGCTGCTGCTTTTTTTGAAAAACAGGAAGTTTTCCGAAGTTTTGTAATTACCATTGCACTTGTCTTCATCTTACAGTACAACAGGTGATACATCTCGATCAAATCTTTTTGAGGATGCTATAAGTGCACTTGGTAAGTGGAGTGTTTTTTTAATGTAGACATTATTTTGGTGCAGCAGAAACAAATGACGGATTAGCAGATGTTGACATTCTCTTCTGTATCTGTCATTGTTAAAGTTATAATCAAAGTACTCTTCTCTAAGACCTAAAGTTGGTATCTTAGAATCAGCATCAAGAACTTCTTTACTGATGAGTATTTCACTTCATATATTTTTATTGTGTAAAAGGAAGATCTTTATCATTCCTGGTTTTTTCCCAGTTTGCCTTAATTTCTCTTCTAACTGTTCAGTTTGAAGTGACTTGAATAGAAGACTGGACATAAATATGTATACATTTTTCTTTTCACATTTGCTTCCCAGTGTGCAGGTCTGATAAAATGGCTGCCTTTATTAATTTGGTCCAGCTTTGAAGTACTGTCTTTTGACACATTTTGGTTAGATAAATTCACCAAATCTGCTTCTGTCTAATTTGAGGAATGAGTGCCTCCGTATACTTATAGTCAATTCACTTTTCTTTTGACAGGTTAAGTGTCTTTGTTTCTCAGTGGAATAAACAGGGTGAAAACAATAGGAAGTTCTGTACCTCATTTATACTAATTCCGGTAGCTAGGAAATTACTAGGGAAACCTACAACTCCTTACTCCTACTTAAATTTTTGGAGGGGGGTTGTTTTTTTAGAGTGTAGCAAATTAAGGCACAGAATTAAGGGGAAGGTGGGTTTTTTTTTTATTTTATCTTCTCTCTGTAAACATTAACCTGCAACTTGGTACAAAAAGATAAACTAATTAATGAGTTTCACTTAAATTTTTGTGTAGGAGTGTGTGGATGTAATGGAGGCAGGTGTTATGATTAAGCAGCCTAAGGTGATTTAGGAGCAGTAGTAGTGTTTTACATGTATTGGTCGTAGCCACCTGGTTTAGTCTAACTGCAGCTTAGGTGTTATGTTGTGAGATACTGTTCTAGGCTGAAGAAATGTATGAGCTGAAATAGCTGATAGATACTGTAGGGGACAACCAGTCGAGTTTGTTAAATTTTTAAAATGACTCCTGCTACCAAAGGTGCTGCAGGCTTTATTAACCATTCATCGTACCTTAAAGGCTGATGTGATCATTGCAAGTACTCATGTTAACAGTAATGACCAACAAGTTTAATTAAGCTGGTGGTCTTCGCTTAGTTATCTTCAGAACTGAAAAAAAATAAGCTCCTTTCCGTGTAGCAGGAGAGCATCACCTCATTATCCATTCCATTTGAAAGTTTGTTGATTGGTGTCTGTAAACCATATCCCTAACAGCTTGGAAATAACAGGTATTGAATGTAATTTCCTGGGTAAACATACTGCAAGTGTTATATGCCAAAAATTTTTGAAAGCAATAGGCATGAACTCTGTGGTTCTTTTTCTTTAGAAACTGAAATTTGCTTGCATGAGTTCACATAGTATGTTTTTACATCCTAAGTAGGATCCTAGGCCTGTTCTTACTGTGGCTTCTCAATTACATTATCTGAAGATAATTGACTCTACTTTAAAAATAGGGATTGGTTTCTACTGATTTGCTTTTGTTTTCAGTTAGGTACGCTGACTGAAAACCAATGTGGCTTTATGTGCTACCTAAAGATCTGCATGTCTTGCAGTTCCTGTGCAACTTACCTTTCACTGGAACAGCCTAATCTTTCTTTAGGGCATGGGACAAGAATTACCGTTGGGAGTGTGACGAACTGGATTTGAAAGTTAATTCAGCTTTAAGATGTTATTTGAAAGACAAAAGCAAAGAGCAGAATCAGTTCAACATTGACCTCACACGTAGCAGCACTATGTAGAGATAGGTCTGACTCTGTATCATGACATTGCGGGTGTGTAGTTCCTGAATTATTATTCTTGGTCTTACTTTTGTTTGAGTTGCGTAAGTAGACTGTATGGACTACGTGTGCCTAAATTCACAGTAATTCTGTTTCCTTCTTTGGCTTTTAATTACAGCTTATGTAGAAGTCTGTCCAGAGCAAGTTGACTTTCTTGCATCTTTTTTTTTCTGTACCAAATCTCTCGTGGTGTTCTGGTCTCTACCTAGCTTATATTCAAAGAGCACTACAGAAATGTTTAAGTAGTAACCAATTAGATCAAAAGGTGTTCTGTCTGCCGTTTACTTTGATTAGTTTGTTAGCAATAGTAAGCATAAACTAGTGCTGTGTAAGAAAGAACATGAGCAAAATCACTGTGTTGGGGCAATTGTTGGCTTGGTTTTTTTGCTTCTCTGAATATCCATACAGCAATAAGTATCTTTAGACCAAAGTTTAAGTGGATTTTTTTTATGCTTTGAAAAAATGAAGGTAGATGTAAAATGGTTGATCTTGTAGTTGTATATGAAGAAATGAACTTACCGTTCCTTAAAGTCGGGTTGGCACTATTATTTTGAAATCTGAATAATAAATACTCAAATTAGTCAAGGGTTGTAAAACTATTATTTATATTTATGGATAATCATAGAATCATAGAATCATTAAGGTTGGAAAAGACCTCTAAGATCAAGTCCAACCATCAACCCAACAGCACCATGCCTGCTAAACTGTGTCCTGAAGTGCCACATCTACAAGTTTTTTTGAACACCTCCAGGGATGGTGACTCCACCACTTCCTTGGGAGAGTTTGCCACACTCATAGCTCAAGAGGTTTGCATCGATAGTGCCTGCAGAGGCAGAATTCAAATGTATCTGATCCCCAGGTATGTATCTGTCTTCACCTGTCTGATGAGCCAGCTGGCTCACTGTAGAGCTGACCCAGAGTCAATGTCGGGACGCAGTGAAAATAATCAGAGAATCTGGGCTTGAGTACAAACCTTAGCTGAGCTACAGTGATGAAGCAGGCACTTATACTACAGCAGTGAAAGACTAGAAAACAAGTTCTAATGAGGTATAAAAAGAAAACTAAGAACAAAACAGTGTAAAAATGGGTGCAACACACAGAAGTCTGAAAGGAGAACAAAGGTTCCCTTCCAGTCCCACGTTCTTGAGGTGCAATGTCCTTTGCTAGTGCAGTCACATCATAAACCAGTCAGGACCTCAGTCTTAAAAATAGTAATAACAAATAATGTACAAGTATCCTTGGGTTAGGGCTGTTTCATTATTTATTCTTGAGTATATTGCCCCCAGTCATACATTCACTGATTATTTAGAAGCATTCTTTAAAAATCAGGCAATGTGGTTGTGTTAATGTTGGCTTGAGTTAAGCACCTTCTCCCCAGGGGAATAAAACTTGATATTTTCTTTGGTTCTTTTACTTGTGACTGACTTGTCTTAACAGAGTAGTTCCAGCACTACTTGTTTCCTCTACTTTTTTAAAATCTGTTGGTTTTTTATGGGGACTGTTAATTATTTAACTCTCCTGCCACTAACTTGATAGTGAGTAGTAGGGTTCCACTGAGATCAGGAATAACTTTATCCAAGGAAGGAGATGGTATTTTAATGCCTGGGTTTGCGGGGGGGGGGGGGGGGGTGTCTGTTTTGTCATGGGAAGAAAACCTTTAAGATGTTTCTCATTACAATTTATAATAGAATAGTTATTTTTTTTAGTTGTTAAACCTGTCTGCTTTTAGGGAAATAAAATGGATTATGAAAAGAGATAATAATTTTCCCTTCAATACTGTTAGTATAGTGATCAGTTGTCCTTAAATTGCTCCATATATAGTGTGTGTACCCTTTTGTCTTAATGGCTGCAGATGTGGGTCAGTTTTAGTCCATTTCACAGAATCACAGAATGGTAGGAGT